GAGGAAGTGGCAATAACCACAACTGCTTGTACGCATTCGGTACAGTAAGAGCCAGCTTTAACAGAAAACCCCCACATATTCAAGTTCTACTATAAAAGATAAAAATGGTAGTGCTGGGTCCTGATGATGGTCCCTTTTAACCAGTATCCTGAAATGTTATGTTTCACAAACATCTACAGTACATAAAATATATTACTGATAATACTATAGCACCTTTCAGACTGGATCTCACGGCTTTATAGATTATGGGTAAAATGAAGTAAATGAGACCCAAAGTTACTGAGAAAACTGTGTGCAGTAATTTTGTGAAGATATGAAAGAACCAAGAAAGGACCTGGAAGCTCCTCTTTAGGTGACAGATTGACGTCGTAATGTAAAGGCTTTGCTAGAGCAGATTGTTTAGCTACCATTTCTGCATTTTATCTAAGACAAGATGGAAATGGAAAACATTGAAAGATCCCTGTAAATCAAAAGAACAAATGGCAAGAGTAGCAAAATAGAACTTAATCTGGGATCAGAAAAGAAATATTAAAGCAGAAAATGAAAGAAACTTGTTGGCAGGGTAATAAACTGGTTTATGATTTAACTTGAATAAAAATCTTAATATCAAGGTATAAATGTAGGATTAATAGATATAGCTCAAGTTTAATAATTAAGCATTAGCAACTTTTCCTATTGATCTCAAGTGGCATGTAAACACCATGGTAATTGGTATGCTATACATCCATAGCTAACTAGTTAGATGGCTAAGAGCTTTGGAGAGCTGCTTTAAATTGGGTTTATTACATAGCATCAAAGAATCATGGACAAACTGAGCTAAATTTAGCTTTCAGGGTGATTTTTAGACAATAAAAAGAAAGACACTTTATAAACACGTCATAGTCCTAGCACAGTTTCACTGTCAAAGCATTTTGCCTGTAGCAAGCAACACTGTTCTTTAAGTGAAGTTGCATCTGTACGGAGTTCAAACGAACACAGAGCTGAAAAGTAGAGAGAGCTCTGACTCCAATCAAATGAATGACTGTTTTGGCTTCATAATATGTTTTCCAGCCCTAACTTTAATCTAAATCAAATGCCCATCTTTCTTGCTGTTCACGCAATGCAAACGCAGCACATGCTTAAGTATAGGAAAATTGCAAGTGCCTAACTACATCAAATTGTACTTCCATCTAGTCTGGAATCTACATCAGGCAGAGGATAATACCTTCTGTTTCAGAAGAAAGAAACTATTCTCCATCACTAATTCATTTAGAAACTGTTCCGCGGATCTAGCCAAACAGCTGCTGGGCATGGAGATCTGGACAATCAAACAGGTCTTTTCTGTTTCTAAACTCAGAAATCTTCCTCCCAAGCAGTACAGCAATGTCAGAGATTCTTTACAGTGTTATGCTAGCAGGTCTGGCATCTACCAGATACAGAAACTCTGCTGGCAAAGTATTTGAACAGCAACATACCTCATGGTATTATCTCTGCCATAAGAATCTCACTATAAATTAGCCCTCTGAGGCAGAGCTCCATGGCATACAGACCCCATCACATCCCAGCAAAAGCCATGAAAATTTTCCTTGTATAGCTGTCAACTGAATGGACAATCCTAAAATGGGAAATTTAATATGAAAGTGATGACTCTTCATGACCTCCCGGAACAGCAAATTTGCAGTTCAGTTACAAGCTGCTTAAAGAGGCTTTTCATTTCAGTGGTTCCTGCAGTACCGTTCCTGCCATTTTAATGTTACAGCCCCGATCTGCCACTGCTTTTCTCTTTGGTATTCTCACCCCACGAGACAAGCTTCTGCGGAGCTCATGAGATTTGCATAAGCTCTGTGTGTGCAAAACTTTGATGTGCGTTGTTGCCACTGCCGTAGTGTGTGCCTCTGAATATTTGAAAAGGTGGGAACAAGTCAATCAAAAGCTGGTTAACTGAAATGAAAACCAGCTTCTGGTGTTTAATACACCCTGTTATATTTTGTTTGGCATTATCTCTCCAGACCAGTGACTCAGCCCTGTAAAACCTTCAGCTTGATCACAGTGTTGACACATGACACCAGGCGTTCGGCTTCCATGGACTTCTATTTATGCTTCCTCTTCTCTTCTTTGAAAAAGCCCAGCAAGATAAATGAACCTCAGACTATTAAATACCATAAAGACTTCCATAAAATAATGGAAACTCTGCCTTTTAGCCTTAAAAAAAGATTTAGCAAGTGCTTCAGATGCATTTAAAAAATTAACTGGCTTCAGCAAAGAACTTCTGAAATGACCCAATGCCTCGTTGTTTCCATGCAGCTCTGCCTGCCTCAGATGGTCGCCCATCACAGTTGTGTCTCAGCATCTGTCACACAAAAAGTGTTGCCAATAGCTGAGTCCCTCGTGGATCTCCTGATGTCTCTAGCTCCACACACTTGTACAGGTAGGTAAGGCCTGCAGTGGGTGGTTTTTAATACCTAAATGGATGACTGTAACGTGCCTGATGCTGTGAAGAGCATCCTGAAGCCCTAGACATTACTCTGGAGTATTTCCACTAACTGATCAGTGTATAAAAATATAGAATAAATGCAAGCCACTGCCATGGGACCTGATCCAAAGTCCCTTCACTTAAATGGGAGTCTTTCCAATGACCTCAGTTTGCTTTGGAGGATGAAAATGGTCATTAAAAAGATAATTTCTACGGTTGTTTTAACTAACAAGACCAGGTGGAAAGTAGCCAAGTTCCCAACACTCATGAGCTGTTATATAGATAAGACCTTCTTACTCATGGTTAAATTACACCTTACCACTCAAATAGTCCCCCTGGCATCAAAAAGAGCAAGATACTGCTTAAATGAGGAAAGGTATCTGTAAGAAAATGTAACTACCTAAAAATAGGGGAAAACCCAAAAAACTGGAGGAAAAACAGTAATTTGGTTTGCAAATAGAACAGGTTATTTAAAAGAATGAACAAATTCCTGTTAAGAACTGCATAGTTTTTATCAGAATGCAAAATATCTCAGCTTAACTTATTGCAAGTACAAACATTTTGACTCCCCGATTCATTTTTTTTTCTTTTGGGTTAGGTGATACAATTCTCGTCTGCAACTTGACAGGATGTAGAAAATAATTACAAATGAAAAGGTTATTCATAATTTTTAAATGAGTTAATTAGTAAACCCCGCCAGAGTCACTCATTACAGTAATTAATAATTGATTATACTTGAAATTAAACACAATTTTTCATCAAAATCTAATTAAATATCAGCCTTTTTGCTTGTTGATTAGAACACTGGGTCTGGTAGAGACAATCTTTGCTAAATATGTTTATGCTGAACTGAACCATCGAATTTGATTTTTAATAATTGATAGTTCCTTTAGAAATTAGTAATTATGACCCATAATTACAGCAGTTCAACCTGATCAGCATTTCTGGCGCCCTGCCAGCCATCCATGGAGCCTGGCAAATGCCACAGAATTCATCTGAATGGGGAAAAAAGGATGGGAGAGCACTCAGTGGACCTACCTTTTAACCACATTAACTGTGATTTTAAACAGGAGCCTGATCTTTTCAGAACTCTGAAAAAGGTTTTTGCGTTGGAGACTACCGAATGGCAAGCCAAACTCTTCTCAATCTATCAAACGGCACACACCTCCTCCGTCAGAATTAACAGGCACCGCTATTCTGAGTTATAACGATAGTCCTCTGACACACTGAGATAACGTCCAAAGGAACCATGTTCAGGGCATAAGGAGAATACCAGACAAATGAGAAAGGCGAGTCCAAATGTACGTAGCAAATGATGAAAATTGACTGCATATTTCATCAAACTGCTGCTGATTTAATGTTGGTTAATTAATCATTCCTGCTCCTCTTACAGGAGGCATAAAAGTGACCAGAGTATGATGCAAGGCAGGAGTGGAAAAGTATCAGTCATTAAAGAAGTGTACATAAAAGGAACACAGGAAAAGCAATCCTTTGTGGTAGTGCTAGTTATATTCTTGTGACATGAAAGCAAAAATCTTTCGATCCAGGTTAAGATTTGTAATTCTAACCACAACCTTTTATAGATCATTAGTGTACAGGAAGTCACAGTGAAATCAAAAAGATTCATTTGTGCCATGAGAAATGGGCTTTTTTACCTATGATCACATCTGTAAGTGTCTGACAACTAGAGTTTGCACCACTGACAGTTTAAAATAGAAGTCTAGGAATGGAGCTTTGTAAGACATTTATAACACAAATATCAAATCTAACTGAAGAAAAACTAATGGTAACACCCCAACTTTACAGGCTGAAAAATACAATTTTCACTTCTAACAGTTCAATTACTTTTGCAACAAACACTGAGAACGCTTTTTGCTTTTTTGCAATGAACACTGACAACCCTTATAAACCAAAGAAATTCAGATCATGCACAGCTCAAGAAAAATCCATTGCTTCTCCACCCAAGTAGGAAAATTTCCCTGACTCCCCCTACTCAAAAAAGGCCCTGTTGGACCACAATCTAAACTCACTCCTTCTCCATCCTTCTGGTCACCCTATGAACTTCAATATCATTGGTTAAATGGCTAGGATTTGCCACCGAAAGATAGAATAAAACCAGATTTTTGCGTGTCAGGATCTTGGTTCTGACCCTGCTCCCACCAAAGTCAACAGCAGAGAATTTCCACAGACCTGGATGTGACTGTGACTAGGACATGGACCTCACTGCCTAGTTTAATGGGCTGTTTTTAGAAAACCTGGTGGGTTTGTCTCACTCCAGGTACACTTTTCCTCTGCAGAAAGTAAACAGTGCATGCCATTGAAGGGAGCTCAAGATATGACTCATGTCTTAATAAGTTCTTCTGGCTCTTGGACATGTGTTAGGCTCCCTACCATACCACTGCAACCTCAATTAAGTCAACAGAGGCCTTATTTCCCCATTTTACTCTGTACCGCGATCTTGACCCTCTGGTTCCCAAACGTTAGCATTACAGGTGGGTTTGTAGAGAAATGAAAAAAAAAGCAGAAAAACCCACAGAAATAAGCTTACCTATGAAATATGCCAGCAGGATCACCAGTGTGACTGAGATGACAATGGCACTCAGAGCAGCGCATTTCCAGTTACAGTACTTATAGGGTTTCTTCAGGTTAAAGGCAGGCCTAGAGAAGGTACTTCTGGGAAGGGGCCTAGGGGGAGGTGAGTACACAGTGCTGGATGTCAAGGGATATCCCGGCGACGTTGTACAAAAGAGGGGAGAAGTGCCTCCAGGTTTGAACAGGAAGTGCCTGAGGGAAGAAAGACCAACAGCAAGTGACTCCTCACACAAATGGAAGCTGAGGGAGACGTGGGGTGGGAGGATGGCAACTGCTGCCAGGACGAGGAAAGCAGCTCCACACAATGCTGGCTACGGACATGGATGGCATGCACGAAAGAGAAGAATAAAAATCAAAGGCAAGTCACACAGAGTAAAGGAAAACAAACCAAAACAAAACAAAAAATCACAGGACCAACAATGCCACAGAGAACCCTTCAAGGGCAGGAGTCCCCTCTGTGGAAGAGCTGGCGTTAGAGTGAGATGAATACCCCAAGCACAGCTACGACAGACTGGTGGCACGGGCAGCACCGGGGGCCTGCTCACGCTCCCACAGAAATGCCCTACGGAGACTGAAGAGGAGAGTGGGTCAGATTGAAGAGGGGAGGGTGTTTACCAATTCATTGATCACTGCATGAGAGCTTTTTTTGTATGGCATTGGTGAATGGAGATGGGGAAAGAGAGCTTAAGCCATTCCATGGCACCCAAATTGTCACAGAGGGGAATATTCACACTGACCCCGCCCAACAAATTTAAGCATCGGACAATGGCATGGCTAAAAGCATCAAAGCCCAGAATTCAAGCCCTGTGTATCGCTAGCGGGGAGAGGCACCTGCTTCCAGAAAGCAGTCCAGAACACCTCAGTTTGATGCCTACCTTTAAAAAGTGTGAATTACTGTCAAAGGCAACAGCGTTTCCTGTCCAGTGACACATTGGGAGGCACCATATTTTGCCCGTTACTACAAACGCAGCCTGAGAGCCAGCCTATGAGGACCTTGTGTGAGACTCATGAAAGTCAGTGCAAAAAAAACCTCACTGCAGTCCATGAGTTCCTGAAATGAAATGTCCCAATGGGAGTTCTCTCCATGGGAATCCTAAATGAAAAACCTCATTTCGGTGGGACGTCATGAAGTACAAGGCATCCAAATTTCGGGAATGAAACATGGGAAACGGATCTGACTCGTCTATCACCATGCTGACGTAAAACAAAAATGCAGCTTGTGAGGACTGAGAAACAGCCCCAGTGCAGTTTGCACCTTCTGCCATGGTTTATGGGGCCAGATTTGCAGCCAGCGTAAATGCAGTCAGCATGGATCCATGGGAGTCAGTCAAGCCAGTGGATTATACCAGATGAAGACGTGACTCTATTTTCCCCTTGAAGTCACTTGTGCAGTCACAGGGGGAAATATCACATGCAGAAATATCACCATGCAGAAAAGCCACTGATTCGTGCAGTATAAAGTAACACATAATTCTCCAAAATAGGTGTTTGTATTATTACAGCCATGGTTTTATTGGCACTCTAAGCATGACTGCTGAGCATTAGAGAAAGATTCATTATTTCTGCTAATGCTCTACATCAAAACATTAATTTTTACAAAAACTCAGATACTGTCCTGTGTTTTGGAAAGTATTTATTTAGACACAGATGTATCTGTTCTGAGCAAAGAGGTACCTGCAGCATTCCAGTACACCAATTAGATCTTCAGTTAATGATGGCTACCAAATTAGAAATTGCCAACAGAAGGTCAGCAGTTTTGGCACTAAGTGTCAAGTTAAAAGTTGCTTATAACTTAAAAGTTAAGTGATCAAAAGTTACGTAAAGATGCCAGAGTGGGTGGTTAAGTCAAAATCAAAGGCTTGGCTTACATACACCACCAGCAGACACTTGTAAGATAAGGTATGTGGAAAATACCAGTTTAAGAATGAAGTATCAGGCTGCCAGCACAATAATGGTTTAAGATATTTATGAAAATTAAACTAATCTTAGTTTATATGGGATTTAAAATTGCTGTAGGTACTTCTTACCAGTGAAATGACTTTCAAAACAGCAAAGGAAAAAAAGCAAATGGCATGCTGTGGCTCAATAGCATACTAATGAGTCTGCCATTAATATGTACAGGACACAGTGCTCCAAGCCCCCTCATTTTTTTAAAACCATCTTGGAAGAGGCCAGCAATGGTGTTCCCCTTAAACATCATTGATAGAGACCAAATGCTTTCATGCAAGGATCATAATGACTGTACAGTAAACAGGAAGACCACGTAAGTGTCACATACCCATCATTGTAAGCACCGTCATGTCGAGAGGAGGTGAGAATGTCCATCTCAATGAGGTTGTCCTGCAATGTCTCTAGGAATGTCTGCTTTGCTATGTTTCTACATACATATGGAAACATGAATGAAGCCAGTGAGTCATGCATATATGAAGTGTGATCTCATAAACCACAATGGTTATAGTGCAGTTGTGCATGGAATTAGAATGATGGACCATATATTTATATGTATAAGATGCTACACATATACATATATAGCTTTTAAGAATGTTCACTTCTCTCTATATACACTATATATATGCGTATACACACATATAAGCACAGACGCCCATGTGCATGTATAAAAAAAAGTTGATGTCTTTGTTCATTTCACATTATTTATTTCCAGTGACACATGAAACCTTCTGAACTGCTGGATTCAAAAGACTAGATTTCAATCCAGCACAGCTGTAACCTTGTAATATTCCTGCATCCGTGGTACTGCTACTCTACAAAGGCACAGCACAGTATCTATGTCCCACTGTGGCCAATACCTTGGTAGCACAGTTCCACCTAATGTCCTCATGGATTTCCAGCGAAAATCTGTCACTCCTTCGCCTATGTTTCAGTTTTGCACTTGAGAACTTTTTAATTACCGATTTGATTAATTTGTTTTCCTTTGTGGAACAATAACTTGCTATTTAGAGGTTTCAAAATGCAAGTTTTGCTCAATATGAGTATTGCAAATAAAAGTCTCTCAGTGATAAACAGATGGAAGCTGGAGAAAGTTTATGCTGTAACCCAAGATCCAATACCAGAGTATTGACTGTAATCTGGATAATGCAGGCAATAGGTGAGTTTCCTAGGGCCTGCTCATGAAAAAGCCTGCTTTTGGCTTTGCACATAATAGTGGTATTTTGCAGTATCTGGCCTCCTCGGTATGTACTTTGATGAGTCACATTTTGACCTATACATGCTAAACTGTTTTGTACTTTTTGAGGAGCATAGCAGGAACATAAAGAATTAAGTCAGAGGCACAGCTGGAAACAGACTGTGTCTTTCTCACCTTCAGGCTTGTTTCTCAAGACCTGGCAAAAGAACTTTCTTCCCATCTTTTTTAAAACAAAAAACCAGTCCTGATTCTGCCCATGTCTGTTTTCAGCATCAAAACTGAATGTAAGCCTGAGTGTGAATAAATTCCCTGGCCAAACCTAGCAAAAGGAACACAACAGCATTGAGACACTTAATCACTTATGCAGGATTAAGCGATTACAGGATATAAGTGACATGATGTGAACTCAAATGAGAACTCCTCTGTCAAAGAAACTGTATTCAGGTAGCATGCTATACCAAGAGAAACCAGCCCTGTCACATTATACAGACCTTGATATTGTCCCTTCTAAAATGTCCTCAACCTTAACTTTCATTTCTACTTCCTTCTCTTCCTGCTGCTAATGCCAGCACTTGTTTAGCTCAGCTCACTGCTTTTGGAGGCCTCTGGGCTGCTTTGACAGAACAGATCTACTCCTTGATCTGAATGAAAGTGACTCCTATTCATAGCTTTGGCATAAAGTGGATTGTCATGCATGAGCTGTGTGCCATAGCACTTGAGACATCAGTTCATCCCCAAGTGTTTGCAGCTTCCTCGCATTCCCTGGGAATGCAGGAAAGGTTGGATGTTGAGTTCAATGCAAAAAGCAGCAACATATATCCATGCACTGAGCGTTTAATGGGTAAGAGGCAAGGCATCTAGCAACACACCAGTCAATAAAAGTTCATCAGTAGTTAAAATCCATGTCAAATTGGTTCCATGAATTTAAGTTGTGGATTGTCAATAAAACTTATAATGTATGTATTTGTAACGGAGAGGTCGCCGGGTCACCGAGGTGACTAATGCATGACTGTCCCCCTCACTGAAGGCTGGACAGTCTGCTCCCTGGAGATTACCTGTGAATTGCTGCCTAGTTACAAACCACTCTCCCTTCTCATTATGAGTTGTGGTGGCAGAATCTGACCTTACATGATTACCACATGAAATTTCCTGTGAATGGAAGTCTCCTGAAAGCTGTTGGTTTGTCAACTAAATGTCCATCTAGTCAGCACTTATTTGCTCCTGCAAGGTCAAATGTAAAGGAACAGGCCACAGAAGAAGGAATAGTGAGGAATAAATATGGGGGGAACTGACTTACCTGTCAGGAGTGACTGCTGAGCAAAGATCTTCTCATCACAACCTTGATAATATATTGCTTTTAAAGCAACAAAAAAGGGAGCAGACAGGAAAAGAAAGAGGAAGAAGGAAAAACAGAGAAAAGGGAGTAAAGGGAAACTAATGAAAAGAAGGGAGAGAAGAGGAGGGGCTCTTCCTCTTGCAAGACACAAAGTTCTTAGATATAGGATATGCTTATTGTGTCAGTTGTAGACTCGTGCTACACATCTCTGCTTGCCTTTGCATTACAGTATGGAGATTTCCAGGCAGTGACAAATTGCCAGTTCTGAATACTGCCTGGAGTCCACGGCAGTCAAAATCAAGTCTCTTCAAACTCTGGGGTACTTAAAATCTAGAACTGTAGGCACGTTTCACAGCCTGTGACAATCCCTGTTTAAAAGATGTAGCTTTTTCTTCATGTTTTCTCTCTCTGTTGACTAATATGGGATTTAAAAAAAATGGATATTCAACAGAAATACAATTCCATTTTTGACATGAGATTACTATAATCTCCCATTGCTATACTTCAAAGGCCTTAATTCTTGGATTAATGTCTCTTGGTCAGGATTTATCTTTTTTACATAGTGGACATTTTATTCCGTAGGTGGAGGTCTTTTTTTGGTTCTAAAAATCTTTGCAGTGTGGAAAGTCAGCTTCATGGAAGAGGTGGAATTGGGCATCCAAGTTTGCTAAACAGCTCTGAAGCCTGGGTTTTTATGTCTACATAATTCCCACTGAAGGAAATGGAAGACCTCTGCATGTCGGAAGACCAGAGTATTAGAGTAGAGATTTGTCACAGATTTACTGATCATCTATGCAGCACAGCCTCTTTGCATTATGACACCATTATAACACATTTTATTTTCTTACTGTTGTTTAGTGAAGGAACAAAAGCCTGCCAGTCATGCTCTGTAAATGTATTCATTTGCTATTTAGCATAAAATTACACATTCTTTTCCAACATGTTCATTGTCTGAAGGGACACTGGGCAAAATTACACCATTCTAACCACTGTGTCAAAAGCTGCAACATCAGTCTCAAAATGACCTGTTTTCTACCTAATTAATAAAATGGTTAAATAGAGGATCAATTACAAATGTGACTGATTTGTAATGCAAGTGAAATCATCAAATGATGCAGTAAGGTAGACCTCCAACATCCAGTCTGGTTAACAGCAATAATATGGGCAACCCAACTTGCAGAAAAGAGTCTGCTTCAGATCTTGAAAAATTTTCATTCACAATAATTTTGTGGAGGAGAAATGAGGACACTCTTTAAGGATGTACTCATTTACAATTTAACAGGCGCAGTCCAGGACTAGCCAGATAATTGTTCTGTCTATGAACTCCTGCATTTATTAAGATGTGGTAGGGTTCTCTCTCCATCTCCCTCTCTGATTGCCAACAGAATTGGGAAAATGGGGGCAGAATGTTTTCAGCAAAGACCTTTTATCTCTGACATTCCTCCACTGATCCAGCAGCAAGGACGTTCCTTCTCAGTTGTAAACTGGTGGGTTCTGAGAGACTCCAGTCAGACATAAGGATGTCTTGGCACTATTAAAACAGTATATTATCTCTTCTCCAAAGAATTCACAACCTGGTTTAGAAAAAGGCACAGGGCTTCCTCCAGAGTTATAGAGGATTATTCACAAAAGGGCTGCAGGAGTGGGGCCTAAGTATTTTTTAATATGGTTTTTTTTTCCAAAAGAAATAACACATAAAAGTCACTGCTTGGGTATATATGCTCAAGAATTAGTAACACAATATAATTACTGAAACTGTTGCCAAATCACACTTGCAGTACTTGCTTATAATTTTCTTTTAATCTTTTGGATCCAGCTTCTTAGTTGGGTCTTTTTAATCAAGCAGTCACAGAGAAATTAATTATCCTTAAATGCCATAAAATGTTAGACTGAGGTCTGTTTTGAAAATTTCAGAGGGCCAGCAGACATAGCTCATTCTCAAAAAGATCGACAGGTGCATTCATTTTTAAAAAAACATTTTCTTAGCAGAAGCTGGCAAAACTGGGTACATTTTGTCCCAGGATACAGACGCAGCTACCATGGATCTCAATGAGATTCCCACAGGCAGTGATGTAACAAATTTGGCCCCTGGCTCAGTTTTCAGCTAGTATATCTTTTTTGCTGTCTAAAATCTTTCTTTTTGGTTTGAGAAGGTAAGACAAATGAGGGAAAAAAGGCAGCTAAGTGCACCATGTTAGGCCTTGAAGACTTCTCTCCAGACTGAAAAAGATACCATGTATGGGGGCTAATGAATCCAGCATCTCCAGTGGTTTCTCAGTAGCAAAGGAAATGGTGAAGCAAAACCTCTGGAGAATGGAAAAACTGAGTTTCAGGTGGGACAGCAAGAAGTAGATGCACTCACCATCAGACGTGAGGACTGAGGCTGAGGGAATATGACAACTCCCTTTTCCAGAACCTACACAGAACCTAAACAAAGCTATGAACTGGAACAACTTAGTGCACCCTTGTCACACCCTTCGTGTGTTGCATAGGTGGAAAAGAATTTAAGAGGTAAATGGAAACATCATTAATTGACTGATGCCCTGGTATCCAGTGTTTCATGCTTGCTGGAGCAATGTTGTAGGATAGTAAAATGCAGCAGCCGACCTCTCCTCATTAGGTAGAACATGATCAACCTTTTCTGAATGATGTACTACAAAAGTATCTGCTTGATGAGGTACAGCTAGAAGGCTAAATCTTTTCAATATATTGACTGATTTCAGTTTGTTAAATAGGATATTGATTTATCCTACCACATAGGAAGAAAAGACATTAAAGGAAAATAAAAGAAAGAAAACCAAGAACATTTTAATCTATGATCCTGATTCCAATTTTAGATGAGGAAAATAACCTTATGAGCAGCTGTTAAAGACAATATTTTTAGTTTATGAAAGAAGAGCAATTTCCTCTTCTCCTAGTCCAAATAAAAAGACAGAAGGAATAATAAATACAGCTCAAAATACATAAGCCAACCAGTTCACAAACTGAACAGCTAGCTCTACAGACTCGTGTATTTTCTGTAACGACCTTAGCGCGCACAGTCAGAATGTTGTAAAGTACTAAAGGAAATGACCTACCTAGTCTCCAGTGGGATGTTACTGTTAAGTAACCAGTTGTCCTGAGCATGGGCTGGCTCTTGAGTGCTGGCTGGTTGTTCTCCAGAAAGAGAGTGGTCCGTAGGAGCTGGGCTAGGGTTGCTGCGTGGTGTGAAGTTCCCTCTGTTTAGGGAATTGATGGAGGCCGCGTGATGTTGATTTGGGGTGTGAGCATGTGATATCGGAGGTGGTGGAGTTCTAAGTCTTGAATGATTTTGAAGATTTGGAGGATGATCTAAAACATAAGCAAAATATTTTTAAGGTTCATGATTTGAGTTGTTCCACACTGCACTCATTTATGTGCAAGCACTTCTAAAAAGTATGAAGGCTGGGATGCCACATATCCTAAATCAAACTCAAAAGGGTAACATAGCCTTGTTCTATAGGCTTTAATGACACATGCATTGATCCCCCAGCCGGCTAGAAAAATAGTTCAGTTTCATGCACAAAAGTTATGAAAGCTTAAAGCACTGTGAAAAGGCTGTCCTGACAGCCAAGTTAACTCCAATGAACAACTGCAGGTTGCAAACTGCAATCTATCTGTGACACTGGTTTGTGATAAAACATGAAAAATACAACCAGCCCGGACAGATAACACTTTAGAGCAATTTTATGATGGATATACAGCTCCCTGTGAAGTTTGTTCTGCCTGTTTTGCCAGAGAACTTTCAATAGTTAAGGCAACAAGAAGACTGAGAATACATTTAATCATAGACTGAGTTTAGGGAAAGCCATAAAACTGTGTCAGGGTTATACAATTTAACAAAATCCAATAGTTTGTATTGTTAGAGATGTACTCAAACTGAGTAAAAAATGCATGTGGTATAAAAGCTGAGGTGTCAGGAAAATGAAACAACATATGGTGAAGAAAGACGTAAAGATCAGTGATACGGCTACTTTGAGTAAAACTCAAAGTGTTTGTTAGCCAAGAGGGAGGTAGATTAAGGAAGGCATTTAGGAAAGACCAACCTAATGCTGATTATATTGGTATTTTTAGGGTTTTTAAAAATAACTATCAAGGGTTTTTTTCACAAGTTTTCTGGAAACAAAGAACTAGAATATTTGATGGAACTGGAGGGAGACTGACAGTTCAGCATACTGGATATAGAATCATAGAATCATAGAATCGTCTAGGTTGGAAAAGACCTTTAAGATAGAATCATAGAATCATAGAATCATCTAGGTTGGAAAAGACCTTTAAGATCATCCAGTCCAACCATTAACCTACACTACCAAGCCCACCTAAACCAATCAAGGGTAGACTAGACTAAACCATGTCCCGAAGTGCCACATCTACCTGTTTTTTGAATGCTTCCAGGGATGGTGACTCCACCACCTCTCTGGGCAGCCTGTTCCAATGCTTGACCACCCTTTCCGTAAAGAAATTTTTCCTAATTTCCAGCCTAAACCTCCCCTGGCGCAGCTTGAGCCCATTTCCTCTCATCCTATCGCTAGCTGAATGAAATACAGGAAACTTATTCCTCTCTGATTTTAGTAGGTTTATGCTTGTAAGTCATTAATACACACCACTTACCTGATGCCTTATCTGAAAAAAAGTATACTGTATCAATCTAATACTTAGTAGACAGAATTCTGTATCATGAAAAACTAACACTCATTTATTCTCTAATTAGAGAGCTCAGAACTGAATGAACTGTACACAGTCCTAAATTACAATGAATGGCATCAAAATTACCATGATATTTAATGACACTTTTGAAATCTGGATTAGGACTTGGATTCAGGAGAGGAACAGGGAAGGCATTTACATTATCTCTGTAGCCTCTTGGATATTTAGACACATAAGATAAAATATAAAGATGTGTAATATACATCTCATCCCTTCCCTCCTCACCCTGTATTGACACACACTACCTTACCATCAACTATGGCTGATTATACTAAAACCTTAGGGTGGCTGAGGTGATCTAGCAAAAAAATTGGTGGTGTTAATTATGAAGGTGCTGCTATCATGTTTGAACGTGTATCTACATCTGGCTTTGTTAGGTTAGACATGGGACCATGGGTATATATTCCATGGGGAGAACTGAGTGCTTTTAGGGTCCCAATCCATTTTACCTTATACTCTGAGAAAGGTCAGAGGAATACCGTAAAAGTGCTGTTCTCTCTATTGTATATCAGTACAACAGGGAACAACAAGCTCAGAAAAAGAGGTCCATACTGGTCATCTACATTTGGACAGACAGATTCTTCCCAGGAATCTAATGGAGTATTCAGAAGTCTGACTTTTAGCAAAGCTCATCCAAAATTAATAATGCCATACTGGACTCTGATCTAACACTAGTTAGCCCTGAAAAATTCTGTACATCAGCCAGCAAACTAAAGAGAGGGACAGAGCAATGACCATGGACTGTATGGACAAGGGATATTGGAACCAAACCAGGTTTGAGCTCAGCTCTGCAGCACCACGTGAATCGAGGCATCCAACCATCCTTGGACTGGGTATCATTGGGGACTGCCACTTAACTGAAGCCCTGACCATGGAGGTAATAAAAACAACAACGGAAGAATCCTACTACTGGCTTAATTACATTAGTGACTCATTTTCCCACTCAACAGACAGAAGCCATGATTGCTTGGCTAAGCCCCTTTCATTGACAGGCAGAAGGAAGATGGGAAGATAGGCACAGAACGCACCAACAACTGCAGTCTCGGTAACATGTCTCCTTGTAGGCAAAGCAAGATTGGAACAGTTTATTAATTCCAGGCTGAGGGAATTGAACATAAATAGAGGATTTCCATTTTCTAGGGCTGTCAATCTATCACCATTCTCAAGAATTTAATTCATCCCAGAGAAAATGACTTGTCTAATCAGGAGCAACATACCAAAGGTTTCCAAGACCAGTTATTTGAGTTTTCATTACAACTAATGCCTGAGATAAGTACTCTGCACGAACAGGAAAGGGGAGCAAATGGGTGAATCCTGGAATATGCAATAGGTGTCTTGTGAAGTTCTCCTGCTATCGGTTGACTTTCCCTACTGGAGACGCCATTTTCAGACTGTGAGTCAGAGCTTGTTTCCAAAGATCTGTTATGTAAATTCCAATTTACACCCTATTATTGCAGACACATTGCAGATGCTATTATGGATAATGCTTTCAAATCAAGTAAAAATGTGTCATTTTCATTCTCTATTTGCATACCCTCTGCGATTTCTTTGCTAAGTAAAGACAGCACATCTATCTTACTCTGGTCTATGTGATTTTTTTCAGAGGATTTTATAGCTTGTATTTCCTTTTCTGACATTTAGGTAGTTTTTCCTCTCAGAATATTTTTAATTTTATTCATATGCAAATTCTGAACATTTATGTCATGTCTGAGCATTACTGAATTTAATATACCTTGACTAGGATTAGCAACTATTTCCCTTGCCTTACTATCTTTTTTTTCTTCTTCTCAAGTTAAGGAACATTAGAAAAAAGGTGTAGATGAAAGCACAAGCTATGAAATCTTCCTACTGAAAATTACTGCAGCTGTGCAGGACTTTCTTGATGCAACAAAACTGCTGAGGTTCTTACCCTCTGCAGCCACCAAAGATCCTATGGGATTTGCGAAGGATAACAGAAGCCCACAAAGCAAACTCTTTCCTGATTTCCTAAAATTTCAACTGTTTCCTTACTTGAACATGCTCTTTTTAAGTTGTTCCATGATGTCTGAGTGATATTAAGTGTGTGGTTACATTTCTCCACAGGAAGGAGAACCTTAATGCTGGCTGCAGTGGCTCTCTTACATCATGTATGGTGCATGTATCTTACACAGTGGGAAAATGCTCTGATTATCCTGCTCTATATTATATATAAATACTGCATATTTATAGCTGCTTAGGCAGCATGGAGTTTTTGCAGATCCCGCCACATAGGTGGGATACAGGGGAAGTCAGATACAGCTTTCTACATCTAACAGCAAACCTTTTTTGGGACAAGAGTACCACAGGAGTTCAGAAGACTTTATAGAGGAGCAGGACATCGTGGCCTCTGCACAAATGGTATGAGGTTCCCCAAGACCTTTCTTAAGCAACTATAAGATGGCTAACTGTGACTATTTGTAAGTTAGCTTACTCAAAAAGAGATAATTTTCAACATTTTCCTTCTTTCAGTTTTCCTCTTTGGTTTCCAAAAAGACACAGAGTTTATCATTCCCTCTCTACTTCTTGTTGGAACGAAAAACCTGACATATGCTATTCAGAAGAACCAGCTAAGCTAACAAAGTACTGAGGAATAAAACAAACACCCTGTAAAACACCTCCCCTCCACGCCTCCAAATTTCTAATAGTCTCCAGAGTCAGGCAACACAGTTTATGGGATAATTTTTGCCTTGAAGGGACAGCAAAAGAGATCTGTCAATAGCAAAGGAGCCCTCCCAGCCTTAGATGCCAGGTGCCAGTGAAACAGAGTCCCAGAGATAAAAGCTCAACATTTCTAGAAGATAGGCTGGCACTGTGGAAGTCTAAATAGCTTGGAACCTAATGAATACCCCTGTAAGTGTCATTTTCTTTAATGGGTCTCCAAAGTGTGTCAAACACGAAATATGTCAGTATTCAAATGTAATGAAACACTGGAAATCTGATTGCGAAAAACACCAACAGAAAACAAGTTGCCTTTGTGTTGCATTTTTTGTTTGTTTTTTAACATTAAAATGTCATTGACTAACACTGGCTTGGTAACCACAGATAAAGCAGAGCTGAAAGATAACTCAGTTAATGAAGCTTGTACTTGGCACATATTAGAGAGCCTTGACAGAATCCTGTGAATGAAGAATTGAATAAATGTGAACCATAAAATATTACCAATGAGGAACTAATATGACAAAATTTGAATAAAAGGTCTGAACCCCATGTTCTTTTTCTTTCCCTTAATCTTTGATGAGTAGTACTGTTTTGAAATTAGTCTGTGTAACAATTACACTTTCTGATTCATTAGGTTTTGGGATTGTGTTCAGGGCAAATGTGCTAACCTCAGAGTGAAAAATACGTTCTCGTCTTTTTTTCCCAGCTTCTCCTGTTCCTCCACACATTTGTCATTTGTATGTCTGCTCATATTCAGACAGCCTGATGGCTGACTGGTGTCTGGGTTAGGTACAGGAAATATTTCTCTTTACTCACTGTATATAGTGCCAGGTGGAATGAATCACTCATTGCTCCCTTGAACTTAAACTCCACAGTAGCTGTGATGACTAACTTGGTAGTGTGACTTTGGGCAATTGTGCTTATCCCCA